GAGTCTTACAGATTTTATGGACACTGCAATGTAAGTAGAACAGGAAAGGAAAAACAGAAAAAGAGGAGAAAATATGAAAGAAAGAGGAGATAAAAGGGAGATAATGATAAAACATTTTCAGTCTGCTTCATCACCTGCAAAGAGATGTAAAAAGAACAGCACAACTAACAGACATGGTACAAGATATACAATAAAGTAACACCTAGATACCATCGCTGAAGTATAAGTAGTATTATTTAATCTGACATGTATTCTGTGTTACCTGAAGATGAGAATGTGGGCTTTCTGTATGGAAGTGAATCTCTAAGTACCTGGAACCAAGCACCTGTAGTTGTTTGTGAGTGTGCACTTGTGCATGTAAAGTTCATCCAAAGGAAAAATGCTCAATAGTGGTTGTGGAGAGCCGGGAGACCCAAAGCCCCAGATGCCCAAACGGACCCCAAGAGCAAAGGCACCAAGGAGGGGCTAACCCAGGAAATCTGACCCCACCAAGGGAGGAGGAGAGACAGCCCCTAGGAAGTCCCCCAGCCACCGCAATGCCGGAGCCCCCGGGAGTCGTGGGGATGAGTCTGCGGGCTCCGCCACCAGCCAGCCTGCCCGAAGTGAATCTGGCCCTGGGCCCCAGGGATCCGAGGCCCCAGGGGTGCCCCAACCCCCGGCAGGAGCCCCAGCCGGGCCCCGGCTGGCCGTGCCCCGCAGAGAAGCCGCCAGGAATGAGCGAGTAGCCACCCGGGCATCCACCCCCAAATCCTGAGCTCCACCAGTGCACCGGCGAGCCTAGGCGCCAAGCAGTGGAGGTAGAGCAGGATGGGGGGAATGGGCTCTGCACTTGGCGGGGACTTGAGATGTGCTTGGGAGAGGGAGCCGTTCAGACCCCAACCTTGGAAAGAAGAGAGAAAAAAAAAAGAAAAGAAAAATTCACTGTCTCAATCACGCCTTCCCACCCTAGTGCCCCCACTCACACCACAAAGACTGTTGAGAAAAAAAAAAAACGCGGACGGACATTCAGACATCAACACTCACATCCAATAAAACCAGGACTAAAGACCCGGCGGCACCGGTGGTTGGTCCCGGGATTATCAGATGACCCAATAAGTGAACCTAAAATCTGGATGGGTGGAAGGGGAAGGGGAGCTGCGACAACACCACACCCCGCACCAGACCAACCCCTGCAAAAGTAAGGGCCCTCATGCCCCACACAGGCCACCCAAACACAGCCCCCCCACCCCCCTAACTAATTCACCCAGCCACTTCACCCCCCCAACCTCCTGTCACCAGAAGTGACACCCCCTGCACTGGCAGGCCAACAAGGTGCTGCAGCAGCCCCGCCAAGATCACGGACCAGGTAGCTTACTCTTCCTCCAGGCCCCAGACACCGGGTGGCAGCCGGGGAACAGGGGTGTAATAAGACCCCGATCCTCCCTGCGCCTGTTCGAATGTGGTGTTGTTGCATGTTGCTCTCAAGTGTAATTAAAACTGGGCGTACCAAAAGGGGGTGTCCAGCACAGTCCATCCCCCCTCCGGAAGAAAGACGGTGCCAGCGCACCCCCCAATTGACAACCCAGAACCCTGCAGGGGGTGGGGGGAGCCGGCCGTGGTGAGGCCCATGAAATAAGCCACCTCGGGTGCACTTGACCCCCACCCCTCCAAGACAATGCACTACATAGATGTGTGTCGTGAAAATGTTATAGATGGAAGTGTCTCAAATGCAAAATAAAATTGGGGTGGGGGACATCCTCACAAGATGGGGCCCTCCAGTTACGCCCCCCTCCCCAAAAACCTACATGTGTGGCAGTGTGATGGAGGTGGCAGAGGGAAGAATCCAGGGATGGGGAGCAAAGGACTGGGGTGCTTACTGCACTCCCAGGGAGTCAGCTCCCCCACTCCAATAGGCACCCCCGTTCCCCAAGAGCCCCACCGGAGAGGAGGGCCCCACCAGTCGCACCACCATAGCCGGGGGGCCAGGGACCGGCGGCAGGGCCCACAAGCCAGCCGGCCACAGGGCCGACAACACCCCCCAAGGTTAGTTATCCTTGCATCTTGTGTTCATGTAAGATGCAAGGAAAACTAACATTAAAAATGGCTCACTGTGACTGACCTGCCACACTGCTGATAGTTTGGAAGAGACTACTTGTTGAGATCTGTAGGTCTGTAATTCTCTGTCTCTGTCTCTGCCCGAGTTATTTTGTAACCATCACAGTGGCATTTTTCTCTTTTGCAATTATGACATCAACTTCCTGTTGCCCATGCTCTTAAAAATGTCAATGACTTGTTCTTTTTGTCATCCAACTGGTGAATGATCCACTACCTTTCACAGCCTCACACAGCTCCTTTTGTTTCGGTCTTAACCTCCTCTCCTTACGAGGCATCTCTACAAGATAAACCATGATACTTAAACTACAATCCGACGCACATAAAACACACACAAATTTACATTTCATACCTTTTCAAAAGATGTACTGTATAGCCACAAATTAAATTCATTAATAATTTCCCCTTTATTTTTCCTAGTGCTATAAAGTTAAAATCAGTTAAATGATGTAGAGTAATATATCATTGAAAAATTATTCATTGAATAAATATTGACTTTTTGCTTTTATTTAGTTTTACTATTGACTTTGGGCATGACATCAAGGGTATAAAAGTTATATGATTTGTGTGGATATTAGCCTCTATGGGCCTATTTAATTTTTGTGTAAATAAATAACAGGTTTAGAAAACTCAGATCCTACCATTATTGTTGTGTTTTTACTGCAACGGTAAAAAAAAATGTGAATATGCATAATGCATAGTTTTAGTGAAATAAAATAGGACACAACAGCTTGACAGTAACATATCATATGTCTCTAATGCTTTGCTCATGGCCGGAGAAACAGACAGTAAAAATCTGAAGTAGGCTACTTCTTCCCCATAACATGCTTTGCATGTGTGGTCAACCAGCTAGTGGCAGGGATGGACCAACTGTAATATAAATTATTTTACCACGTTTGCATCTGCACCCCTTCCAGTTTGGTCGGGCCGGCGTACTATAGTGTACTATCTATGGCAGGCCTGCCATACACACCCACTTTATGCGCCGCTGACAAGCAGCTATAACTTCTTAGATGTCGCAAATTTGGACAGCACAGAGGATGCTCATTGCTAACTTTACTTGGTTAGTCTACTCATCTTGCAACAAAACACCATGCGCAAACTAACACCGCTGCAGAACCTAGTTAACCAGTTGTTTACTTTTTCTGGAATTGGCAGTCGTAGTGCTTGTCTGAAGCAGCGCTTAGCTATTAGCAGAAGGGCACATCAGTGCAGTGAAGGCAGAGTGAGCGAGGGCAAATTGTGATGATCATGTGACAAGCCATGTTTACCCATGCACGGTAGATCTAAGTTATTATTTTGGGCATGCAAACACAAAGATACAAACACACAAACAACAAAAATCAAGAAAAAAAACACAGGCAAAATGGCACTTTGGGAATCAAGGGGCACAGCGGTAGGTGCTCAATTGCCCGCAGCACCCCCCTCTGCACGTCCCAGCCGTATACCAATAAGTTCTTCCAGGTCACATGACTTGGTCGGTGTGGTCTGTCATATCTAGGGTAATCAACCATACCTTAAAATAAGGAGTTTCCGTAGAGTAAAAATTAATTATCAGTAAAAAGCTAATGGAAAATGAAGAACAAGAGCACGTTAGATACAAAACTTACGGTAAACTTTTTCTTGGGCCCTGTCCTGCGTTGTGACCAGTGAGCTGACAACATATATGTTACGATCCAGAATACCCTCATCGCATTGGCCGAGCCAAGTGTTGCTAACAGAGAAGATAGTAGGAAACAACAAAGCAGTATGGGGGAGGAATGGTGGAATTTAAATGCTGATGCGCCAGGAAAAGGAATCCTGGCAGTCCAAAGGAACAGCAGAGACATGTGTAGAGGTTCTTCAGGCAGTTGACCTTCCCAACATCCAAGCTTCTGTGTCCTTTGTCCTCAGCATCCCATCTTCCACTGATTTTGTGGAGAGGATTTTCTCCTTAATGAAGAACAAATGGAGTGATGTGCAGAACAAATGTTCCACTGAAGTAATTAAAGCTGAGCTCATTGTTAGCCTCAATTATAAACTATCTTGCTCAGAGTTGTACTCTGCAGCAGTCAAAGACAAACAACTTCTCACTGCTGCATGAGCTCAGAGGAAATACAAGTGGAAAAAGTAGGCTATCACCACATAATGTGGCACTGAGCTAATGATTTTTTTTTTTAACAACTATAGCCTACAGTCATTGCATTAAAGGGACAAATGTGTTTACAAGTTTGCACAAGTTTGATGTTGCACCAAAAATGTGCACCATTTACTTTTATATTCCTTTTTAACAGTTTCAAGTTAAGCAGGACAGGCCTATGTTTAAGATACTTATTTTTATTCAGCAAAGTTTGTTATTTTTGTATTAAAGTGAATTTCTGGATAATAATTTGATTTCCATGTGTTCATGACACTCACAAACATGCATCTATTTCAATGCAGATTTGAGTAAAATGGTTAAAAAAAAATATTTCACACACAAAGGGGGGCTGGAAAAAAATTACCACGCTAAGGCTATCGGGTCTACTGGCACACACGAGGTGTCCCTTTTTCTTTCAGGGAGTTGGCATCCCTAGTCATATCTCAACTTACAGTCGTTATCTCAAGAGGGGAGCCCTGCTTGTAGCATTGATAGTGTCAAGCGCTGTACATTGGCCTGATGAATAATTTAAAATAACTCACATGCTTTAACTCTTTAGGGCACAAAGTCCGCAGTGTGCCTTTAAGGATTGGCGAAACGAAACCCCAAGTGAAAGAAAGGTTGAACATTCAATAAAACACCAAATGATTTATTCAGCTGAATTTATTTATTCATCTTTTCATTAAAACCTGATTTGTATATCTGAAGCAATGAGGAACGAGTACAAGTTGTCAGAATGCAGCAGTTCTGTGTCATTTAAAGAATATATCACCGGGTAAGTGATATTTTGAGCTTTCACAAAAAACAAGCGGCTGACACAATAAAAGACTTATCTGATGGCATCAACAAAGAATCAATGTAAGATAAACAAGTTGTATACTTGAGCAGATATGGTGTGTTAGCTGAAGTCCTTCTGCATAGATGGAACTACATTGTAAAATGTCTTGTGTAGTCATATTCTATTGTTGGAATGACAGCCTGGACAAACTTTAGGAAAATCAGAAGGTACCTGAAAGCCTTAGTTAAGGAAAAGGGGTCAAAGATGAAAGCATATCAAGCTTAACCATGTCTAAAAATACCCACCACAATTACCTACCAACAGCAACATACAGGACTTGTTTAACTATGCAAGTTTAAGACTCTGTTGAAAATTTAGCATCACTTGACTTTAAATAACCATCTTTTATGAGTTTCTTAGTTTTCTTAAAGGAATGTGTCGTAATGCGTTTGCTATGTTGCATGGCTTTTTTAATGGAACATCATTCAAGATATTCCAAAACACATCCTAATTATCATCCTTAAGCCTCTATCCTTGGTATTTGGTACTGGGCTGACATGTTTCTGGAATGGTCAAAAGTTTTTAAAAAAGTCATACTTTGTTGAGACAAGCTTTTTTGTTTTTATCTTGCAAAAATGGAACAAAAAAAGGAAAAAGTCTTAAATACATGTATTTGCACTTAAGTTAGTAAAAGAATCTGCTAATGGAAGACAATTGTTTGAACTTAAATAGAAAAAAATTCCTCTCCATGGCCTTATTTCAAGTGCAGATTACCCTTTTGAAAGAGATAAAGTAGGCGTAAAATAGTATCGCAAATGAACCTATTGTAGAAAGGCTTACTTATTTTTCTAGCATTCTTTGTATTTAGCTGCCATGTTCTTTTCAACCCAGAGGAGGCTTTCTCTGGGAAATCAGGAAAAAAAATGATACTTTATAATACATATCTTTTTTAGCTAGTTATCAAAAGTGCATGATTTTGAGAACTGCTGACAACCAAAAGGTGTTACATACTAAAAAAAAAAAAAAAAACCCAGATTCCACATCCTCTATCAGTGCTCGGCTCGGAACACTTGCGCAGTCATGTTAATCAATGAGAACTGCTCCACATCCACCGCTACTCTTCCGCAGTTCAACCATCCATGTACATCTTCTCTTCTCCGCCCTTCACCTCAAAATACAGAGCCGAGCCAGCTGGGTCAAGATCCGCAATTGCAACAAACAGGAAAAAACGTCGAGAAGATACGGTTCGTCAAATAAAAATATGGTAACAACAGATTAGACCATAATTCTTTTGTATTCCCAAAAACTAAGACCGTTCAATATAATTATTGAATGTAAACTATTGGTACTTCAACATAACAGGGAGCAGATTTCTCATCTCGATCAAAATATTTTATACAGAGAGGCTTGAAAGTTGAATCCAATCCAGTCAAAACTTCCAAGGGCACATGTGACAAGTTCAAAATTTATTTTTTGTCTCAGTCATGGATGAAGAGATGCTGAGCTTGGAAGTAGAGAACAAACATAGTTCATAAAAATCCAATTTTGTAGGATCCTAGCCCCTATCCCTGTTACAAAAGTCTACAACAAAAAGAAAGTATTTGGGCAGAAACTGCACATATACGGGATGCTGATTTTTAAAAAAATGTCATATTGAATTAAAGGTTAATTACCGCATGTTTTTTCTCCTATAGATTTAATAATAATGACGCGCATGCTGTCCTCGAACTCCGAGGAAGTCGGATTAGATCAAGACAGAACAGCAGAGGCTGTAGGCTTTGCTTTGCGCAGGTGGTGTGGAACGGAGCGGGGCATTAAAGGAGGATGTGGGATTTCTGGGTAAGGCAGAAATATAACTAATTTCGGTTAAATTAGACCAGGCATGCCCAAAGTTGGTCCTGGAGGGCAGCTCTCTTGCAGGTTTTAGAGTTTTTTTCCCTGCTTCAGCAGATCTGATTTCCATTAATGGCTGATAACAGGCTTTTGCTGAATGCAATCATCAGAATCAGCTGTACTGAAGCAAAGAAACAATGAAAACCTGCAGCACAGCAGCCCTCAAACTTTGGACATGCCTGCATTGAACCACTGGGAGAGCTTAGTTTGGTCAACCATGGTATAAGATTCAAGGATACATATGAACTCCCAGCTCTCCTCCTCCTTCGGCCACTGTTTCAATAATCTTCTTCATCACTTCAGCATGTCTGGAAACAGAGGTCACAGACAAAACAATCTTATCAAAATTGTGAGAGCAGGATAAATAATAGACAAAACTAATATAATAAGCCAAATGAAAAAGTATAGAATATAACGGAGGCTGAATCCTAATTGTAACCCAGAAGTGCCATTCCCTATAATTAACATCATCATATTGGTAAGTGTGTTTAGAAACCAACTCACCTGCAGGGGTGTACAGAGCACATGGCGGGCGGAGGCAGGTGGGGATGTGTCTCAATGGTGACCGTTTTCTTCACATGGTCCTGGCTAATGTCCTCGTACATCTGCTCCACAGTCAGTGGCTGCCTGTCCTGGGAAACACATGCACACCCAGATTATCAGACCATCCTTTATGTGGGCCCGTCCCTCACACTGAGCTTTTATGATCATACTTCATCATAACCGAATAGCCAGAGTCGAGGCGTCTGGTAGTATTTATCGTAGGTGATGTATAGGTCATAGGTTCTGGTCTGAAGGATGGCATCCTCACTGCCAGCTTCTACTTTGGCTTTGGTTTCCACCATTTTGCTGGTGTCCAAAGTGGCCTGGGTGCAGGATACAGCTTGCTGTTAGCTAGGTGCAGTTTTTCATCACCAAAATAAGGAAACAAAGCTCAGAATTACCTCATCTGTCTCCAATAAGCCGCTTTCCTCATATTCTGGAAAAGTTCAAAAGCCTGTCAGTAAAAGCGGCATATTCTGAGATCTGACAACAAGCACTGTTGAATACCTTCCATATCTGCCGCTTCTCCTCCATCCTCGTCCTCATCTTCATCGTCATCACAACACAGCGTAGACATGGCATTCATGTTCTTGTCCTAAAAGCATTAATAGTTCTGACTAAATACTCGAACAGACATAACAGAATTCTTTTTTTCTCCTCACAGTCTTAGAATGAAATGAGAAGGGTCCTGAAATAAATCTCTGGGTTAAGCAAACTCTGGTGCTACTACAGCTACTTAATTTGCATTTTACAGACTGATAACTTGTTTACCCTGATATTTTATACATTTCACACTGGCTGCAAGGAGTATAAAGAGGCTCCGACTATGCAGGGTGAGCAGATCAAGATCTGCAAACATCTTTTTTGACTTGTGTCTCTGTTCCGTACAATTTGAAAAAATGTCCCCCATTCGACAGGGACAGATTATCTAAAGTTATTAAGAAAAATAATAATAAAATACAACCAGCGTGGCTTCAAAGCAAAGCCCCACTTCGGGAGTCTCTTAAAGGTAAAGCGGAGGATTTTCTTTTTCCGGGGGATCATCAAAATAAGTGGTTCTAATTGTCAATCATCCTGGTGACATGTTTACGTAAGACCGTCCTATGTGCCTGTGACCATAGGTAGGTATCTTTTTGCCGGCATGAGTGAGCTATGGTTCGATCAAACTCCTTGCTAAACACAGACTCAAAGGGGCCCATTACATCCCATTACATCTCTGCAATGTAAACACTGTTTCTATAATCCTAAAAGTACTACTTACGCACTTCTATGGTTAACTAGTTAGAGTTAACTAACTCTAACTCTGTTACTCAAACTGAAAGTTCACTTGGAAAAAACTGAATCAGGGAGCTAACCGACACGGCAGATAAAGCAGTCTCATCTACTGCTTGGTTATTCATCTCACAAATAAGATGTCTGGGGGGCCTAATGGAACTACAGTCCCTAAGAATACGTCGGTCAAACTCTGTGGAAACAATCTGAGGTAAGTCTGGACAGTCACCATCTAGAGTAGCTATCACAGGGGTGATTTTAACATCAAGGGGATTGCCAACAGGCAGAGGCAAGTCCGTGCGGAATTCACCAGGAGGGGTCATGTCTGGATGAACAGAGCTGGTAGGGATCGTGACCATGTCTGGGGGTAGAATGTCTGGGCAACGTCCTTGATCTGGAAAAATTGTAATTTGCTGCTCGACACGCCACATCAACCAATCAGAGACTCTGATCTGGGAGCTGGCAGGGAGACAGACACATCGCTGATGATATAGAGCGCTGTGATCACTCCTCTGAAACAGTTTATTAACGTCTAAATTTACTTAAAATGCTGAAACCTGCCGACAAAGCATGTTCCCTTTTATCATCCTGGTGCCTGCAGTTTGGATTATGTACATGAAACCACCTTCTAGCCGCCGCTGCGAACCGAGAGCAGGCGACCAGGCCAGAGGCTGCTGTTGAATGGGATTCCTACTTACAGTGCACCGCTGGTATGTGGGGGTCTGAGCAGCTCCGAAAGAAATAATATTGGAAGGCAGAATGGTAATCTGGATGAACTGACTGCAGTGATTACGTTTTCAGGTGGATTTTCTCACTTAAAAACATATTAAAACTATTTTATTCCCACTGATCACAGCAAATATAGCTGCAAGGCAAAGAAAGGACAGGGTAGCTCCACGTCAGACCCACTTTTTCACCGCGCAGCCAGAGAAGCAAAGCTGCTTCAGCCGCACGTTAGAACTAAACTGGTACAAGCAGCAAAAATAGGGCAGCAGATGAGATTTTGCTGCTCCTGCTGCGTCCGGTGTGAACGTAACATACCGTATTTTCACGACAATAAGGTGCATATAAACGTCTTTTTTCCCCCCTCAAAATGTGCGGCGCGCCCTTTGGTGCGGTGCGCCCTATGTGTGTTGTTACTGCGGACCTCTGAGACCACCATGCACCATGCAGAACTCCTCATCTCCTCATTGAGGAGATGATGAAAGAGTGGCTGAGGGAGGTGAATGTAAGGAGACTAGGTGGGGTTTTTTTCCACTGATCACCATTGCTGTTAATCTGTGACTCCATGCGTGCCCATCTCACAGCTGATGTGAAAAACATGGTGAAACATATGAACGCTGTGCTTCCTGTTATTCAACCGCTCGACATCGGTGTGAACCGGACGCAGCAGGCGCAGCAGAAGCAGCGAGTTTACATGCAAAGTCAATGGTTGACGCTCGTATAGGCGCAGCAAAAGGTCCCGCAGCGCGTTTTGAGCAGCAGACGCAGCGTCAGCGTTGGGAGCGTTTAAGTGTTTGACGCGCTTGACGCGCCGCCAACGTGCTGCTGCTGCTCGAGATGGAACAATTGAAGTTTTGCTGCTGGACAGCAAATATAGCTGCAAGGCAAAGAAACGATAGGATAGCTCCGCCCAACGTACGTCAGACACACTTTTGCACCGCGCAGCCAGAGCAGCAAAGCTGCTTCAGCCGCACGTCAGAACTGGTACAATCTGCAGGCAGCAGGATAATAAAAGCGAACATATTCTGCCGGCAGGGTTCAGCATTTTAAGTTAATTTATGCGTCAATAAACTGTTTCAGAGGAGCGATCACAGCCCTGTGCCATCAGCGATGTGTCTGTCTCACGGCCGGCTCCCAGGTTTGAATAATACTTTGTAATAAATACACCTGGCAACTATATTTGCTGTGATCAGTGGGAATAAAGTAGTTTTAATATGTTTTTAAGTGAGAAAATCCACCTGTAAACTTAATCATGTAAACTTAAGCAGTCAGTTCATCCAGATTATCATCCTGCCTTCTAATATTATTTCT